CAGGTTTATTAAAAAGGCTTATAAATCATATGGTTACAATGGCTATTGCTCTATTTCTTAACTGCTAGCAAATACAGATCTTAAAATGGTTACAAAGAAAATAAAAAAATAGAAAATAGAAATAATGGTACCAAGCGACAGCTTAATCTTTAAAGAGCTCTAAGTCTATGTGTACACTTAAGACAAAGGACCACATCCAGGTACAATTTTTACCCCTTTCTGTGCCTCTCAACTCCAGCGGGTCAAGCCAGGGCCGGTCCCTCAATTCCTAGGAAAGACGAATACGAGGTGGGCATCCTCGTGGAACCTCAGGAGGTCAAACACCTAACTTGACCAGCAGATAGATGGTAGATTGACACTCAGAGTAAATGTTCTGCTGGACCCATCTTTATACCCATAGGGGCCCGTATCCTCTTTCTTATTTAAGATGCCAAATTGTACTGGTCCGTTTCTGTGGTGCCAGTTCTTACAAGCAAGTTTCAACTTAATTTACACTTGTAAGAAGATAACTAAATTGGAAGTACTGAACATTTTTTTACTGGGCGAGAGATTCCTCCCCCTGCGGACAGCTGTGTGTTCGTATCAATATGGGTTTCAGTCAAGGGCACTCCTTGGCAGCCTCTTGGTCAGCAATTGGCGTATCTCTGTTTACAGCCATTCATGGTCACGGCCCCTGCCATATCCAGGCCTTCTGTTCAAGGCTTACTGCTCTGTGTGCCCTGCATGCTCCAGGCAAGCAAAGATGGATGTTACAGGGGGGTTCCTGTCTGGCTACACTATCCTAGATGATACATGGTCCTGCCATGAGGGCAAGAGACTGGACTTGATATCTCGAGGTCCCTTCTAGTTCTAGTATTCTATGATTCTTTGATTTAACGTTGTGGCACTTGACAGGGACCAGTGTAGAGCTGGAGTCCTTAGATAGCACAATGCTGCCTGGAGCCCCAGGGAAGGGTTCCTAGAAGCCCCTCATAAACACATGGGGCCAACTTTACCCTGGAGGAGAAAACAGGATCTCTGGCCCTACCCACTCATTTTTCTCACAATTAGCGTGATACCTATTATATCACACCCTCCCCATGCTAACATGCCTAAGTTTAATTGCTTAATAGGCCCTCATCTTAATACCCATTTCCAGTGTGAGATCCAGTTTACACAGCAGCTTGAAGTTGCAAGAGAGAGTTACGATGCTCCTTTATTTTCTTGCTACTCTTACCATGGACTTTCAGCATGAGGGGGAGAGCAGGCTCATAGACTCATTATATTCTCCCCCTTGCCCTCCCCCTCTCATACATATGATGGGGAGGGCAGTGAGGTGAAATGTTGGTATCACGCACAATCATACTCTGGCTAGAACGGCCATGGCAATGTACCAGTGGCAAGTATACTGGGCCTGTTGTAGGCCAGGCAATGCATATTCTCCCTAAAATCAGGGCTGAACAGATAGAAGGTTATGATTCTTCTAGACACAAATTGCTACCTTGTCTGCTCCAAAGACAAAGCAACAACATGCTGCCCTTTCCTTGATATTTGTGGCAAAGTCACAGCACAGTCTTTAATACAATCAGTCATTTCTTAAACCAATATATATAATTTGATTTACATACATTATCTGACAGATTATCCATTACCTTTGTAGGAAATATTTCAAACCAATTTCCTCCTTTGTTGCTAATTAACCCCTCGACAGACTGAACTCTATTTGTCTGTGGACATAGTTCATCATTATCAAACCTCCTCATAACACTGACTGCTTTTATTCCATTTTCTTGCGCCCACAAAGATTTTCAAAAATTGATTTATTGTAACAAAAACAACCTGTGAACCTGGAATTATTGTCATTTTCCAGTATGGTAAATTCCTCTAACATAACACTCTCCCTAGTATAAAATAATGAATTATCCTAAGTAAAGTTTTATCTATATGTTTCATACATTTATAGAGTGACTACCCTTCATTTATATACTATTCTTTGTTGCAACACTCCCCCTTTACCATTTGCTTAATGATTCCCACATTAAACAGTAACTGTGTTTTAGTATATTGGATTTTTGTTCTCTCATGCTAACAATGCAAACTAATGGACTGACCAACATCCTAGAAGATTGGAATGTCTGAACTTTAAATCCCCAGTTGGGCCAAAATATCACTTACCTGGGGCAAATTCTTTTATTTCTCTTAGTTTTCCCATCTAAAAAGTTAGGAAAGATAATTACTCAAATTGTAAACTGTTATACGGAGCAATTAGCTAATGCTTGTAAAGTGATTTGAAACCTAAGCATCAAATATTATTATTTGAATGTATGTTCTATATTTTGATAACTGGACCCAAATTGCTTAATTTTATCATTTTATCTGCTGGCCTTGACCTAACACTATTTCCATATTTGAGAAGTTGCTGTGCAACAAGTTTTTCCTCCCTTGTAGCCAGTAATCTGCGATATGGAGCTATGCCTTCTAATTAACTTTCCACATCTTTTTCTCAGATGAGTATTTTTTACATTTACTTGATAATTGGGCCTTGAAGGCCTGATCTCTAACTACTATTGTCACAGGACTGAGTTTGAAATGTACTTCATAATATCTACAAATTCTACTTCACTTACAGAAGCAACCATTACTTTTTTATTTTTTCCACAGACAAAAGAAGGATTCTCCTTCTGCCCTGACACCACAGCATGTGTAAAGCAATTTACTGCACTCAACCACAATCTCAAATGGCTCAGAACAGGAATGTATACATCAGCCTGAAATATAACACAGGTATGGATAGCAGATTGTGAATGGTACCAACAGCTTGGTATTCTTACCTTTTGGCTTCCTGAATACCGATAATTTGTGTCTTAAGATAAGAATGCTGTCATCATTCTCAAAAGGAGCAGGATTTAAGGAGCAGGGCACAACTTCATTCAATTACAGTAGGCTGAGGTACTAGATACTGTCATAGTGTAACCCACGCATCTAGCGGATGTGGTTCACTGTCCCTTGAAGTGGTGGCACTTAAGCCAATTACAGAGAGAATATGTGAGAACTACGTCCTCAGCTGAGAAGCACCTGGCTTTATAGCTCAAGCAGTAGAGGCTTGTGCATTAGGTTCCGGAGGTCCCAGATCCAGTTGTGCCTGCTGGCATTATAACCACTCCAGTCAAGTGTCCCCTTTTAGTCACTCACTAGACCCAGTTTCTGTTTCCCCAGATCTTTTTTAAAGTTTCTCTAAGGCTGAGTAAGCTGCACCATTGTTTGCTCCCTAAGCCTCCCTGGCCCATCTCTCAGGCACACACTTTAAGTTTATTACCTCTTCATGGAAATAGTGCCACTCAGCCTCCTTGTCTAGGCCCCCAAATCCACTGCTGACACCAAAGATCTCAGCAGCTTGTCCAGAATTCTCCCAAAGGCTAGAGTTTAACTCTCTTGGGGCAGGGGCAGGGGCAGGGGCAGTGATGAGTGTAGCATATTACGCACACAGATATTTTGCCTAGAATGCCACTATGTGGTTGCTCTTTAATTAATCACATGAAAAATATGGATATAACTACATAAATAAGCCCATGGGTATTTTCCTTCACTCTAGCACACCATACCATTTGGAGTCTTTGGGGAAACATTTGGCTACAGGTCGGCAGCATGTCCCCAGTTCATATGACTCCTGCAGCAGCTTTCCTCCCCTTATGCTGGTGAAAAATGTCCATAGAAAGAGCATATAGATCACTTCCTGTCCTATAGAACCTGCCAGTTTTTCTGTCAAGTGACTCCTGAGTTGTCCCCTTTCCTTCTCCTCCTCCTCCCCCCAGTGATCCCATAGTCACACCAAATGAATTTGTTGTTAGGTAACCTCTCCCCAGATAAAATGGTTCCCCTGGTTTAGAACCAAAATTTTGCTAGAGCGATTACAGTTCAGTCGTCAGACACATTGATCAACAGTCCTCTTTTGTTGTCCTTTTCCCTTTTTTTTGCCTGTCTACCTCCATGTCTGACTGTAATTCCAAAGGCAAAGTTCTGTGCATTGAAAAAGGTCTTTGCAGCTTGGTAAAGATATATTAAGAGTGTTCATAATCACACAAAGAGTTAACAAATTGCACAGATGGCTTTCTCAAATCGTCACAGCACCCACTTCCTGTATTGCATCCAGTGTGAGGTTGAAGTCCTCCCTTCTGTAACCTTTGAGTTTTGTGTTCTTGATTAGTAATTTAAAAACAAGGAATAAAAGCAATCTGAATCTTTTACGGTTCAAACCTCTTGGGTCATTAATATAGACACTTTAATTTAGTAGAGGATAGAATAACATAATGAGTGATATAATTAAAGACTTTATATAAACTAGCTAGTAGAGCAAACAGGCATTACAATGTGCCCATATACAGCAGCACTGCTTATATTCTAAGACAAATTGATGCATCCAGAATGGTGAGTCCCTGGATGGGACGAACGAGTTGTCACATCTCTGAAGTGGCTCACAACCATGAGTGCCAACCTCAGGACAGACTGTCAAGAAAAAGAGCAGAGACCCCCAAACTGATTGTTTGTGCTTTAGATTTCACCATTCCAGTAATAAGTGTGAACTCCTAAAGCACTGTAACTGTCATACCATAGAGCCACAGACAGTCCCTTTGGGCATTCCAATCTCTCTTGACATTCAAGATGGACTTAGTGATACATGGCTTACCATACTTTGTGATCTTTGACATACAGCAACCATCTAAGTATTTAACTAAGAACAGAAATGAGAGTTATTACAAGGTTAAAGCGACGAGGAGTCCTGTGGCACCTTATAGACTAACTGAAGTGTACGAGCATAAGCTTTCGTGGGCAAAGACCCACTTCGTCAGATGCATGTCAGATACAAGGTTAAAGTAGGCAAATGTATATACAAATGAGTTACAGTCTATGGTTTCAAAAGCTGACAGAGTTTTCAGCTCTGAATATCTTTTAGGCCTAAACCAGATTGACCTTGGGAGATCATAGAAGCATAGACTCATAGGGCTGAAAGAAACCTCAGGTGGTCATCAAGTCCAGCCACCCTGCCCAAAACAGGACCAATCCCAACTAAATCATCCAGCCAGGGCTTTGTCAAGCCGAGACTTAAAAACCTCTGAGGATGGAGATTCCACCACCTCCCTAGCTAACCCATTCCAGTAATTCACCACTCTCCTAGTGAAGTAGGTTTTCCTAATATCCAACCTAGACCTCCCCCACTGTAACTTGAGACCATTGCTCCTTGTTCTGCCATCCGTCACTACTGAGAACAGCCTTTCTCCATCCTCTTTGGAACCTCCCTTCAGGAAGTTGAAGGCTGCAATCAAATCCCCCCTCACTCTTTGCTTCTGCAGACTAAATAAGCCTAATCCCTTAACCTCTCCTCATAGGTCATGTGCTCCAGCCCCTTAATCCTTTTGGTTTCCTTCCACTGGACCCTCTCCAATATGTCCACATCTTTTCTGTAGTAGGGGGCCCAAAAATGGATGCAATACTCCAGGTGTGGCCTCACCAGTGCCAAATATAGGAGAGTAATCACTTCTCTAGATCTTCTGGCAATGCTCCTCCTAATGCAACCTAATATTCCATTTGCCTTCTTGGCTACAAGGACACACTGTTGACTCATATCCAGCTTCTCATCCACTGCCAAACTGCTATTTAGCCAGACAGTTCTCAGCCTGTAACAATGCTTTGGATTCTTCCGTCCCAAGTGCAGGACTCTGCACTTGACCTTGTTGAACCTCATCAGATTTCTTTTGGATCTCTGTCCCAGTTTTGTAGCTCCAGTCCAGTGAGCAGTGGCACTGACATGTGGGGGTTCTAAGGGTTGACAGAGAGGGCAGAGAGGAGCAAGTGAGGGACAGGGCTTTAGGGGGAAGAGGTAGCATGAGGGCAGGGTGTCAGTCAAGATATGGTACCTAGTCAGCCATTTTACATGGGTGTAATCCTCTCCCTGCTGTGCCTTGATTGTGGATGGTTGTGTTTATCTAAAGTTGGCAAGCTACCCTTTTTATAATCAATTATAATGATACCCCTTAGTTCATTAACATTAAGTCTATCTTTTATCATATCTATATTCTGCTACCATAATTAAATATTCCCTACTTTCTCATATTAAGCGTGGTTTAATTAACATCTGGGTAAACACCATACCAATAGCTGTCAATATAGATAGTGTTTTCCAAAGCATTCACATTTTATCTAAAACACTTATAAAACCCAATTAGAACCAAACCATGTTTACAATATGACTTGGAGTTATGGCCTCGCTGGGCTCTGAATCGTCTTACTTTATTTTAGTCACATTTTACCAGGCTTCACTTGACTTTTGCCAACCTGTTTTCAGAGAATAGATTTTGGCTTTCTTATATCTGAACACATTTCTAAATAAGATAAGCAAGCATCATCTTTATAGGCTACTCCCCATATAACCATAACTTACAGGAGACCTAGATCTAATCTTTCTTCAGAATCTCCTCTCTCTCCTATTCATGAAGGTTCCCAGGTGGAATTCATTTGTGAAGACTGCTGGTCTCCCCTTCTTCCTTTGATAAAATAAAATAATAAAAAGTCCACTAGGGACACGCTTTACATCTCGAAGCTGCCCCCCTTTTTTTGACTTTATGTGCCCTAGACACCAGCTTCAGGTTGCAATGAAGTTCAAATTTCTATATTATCTGCTAATAAAACTTCCCCTGCCTCTGTGACATAACTGATCTTCGACAATACAGCAATGAAGGCACACACAAAAAAAGCCCATTGCTGACCATTTGACTTGAGGGAGAAAAATTCCTCCTGAGCCCCAAATGAGAGGATCAGCCAAGAAAACAGCATTTCGAAAGCACAAACAAACAGGAAAGCAGGGTTGGGTAGGGCAACATCAATAATAAAATGGTTTCTGCAAGGCTGAGCGGGTTCTATATTTGAGGAAATAGGTGGAATAATAGATCATTAGTTCTTTTATCCCTCCCTCTTCCTTGATTCCTAACCAATGGGAAACCACAAAATAAAACAAAAAGCCCTTCCTCCATGCATAATCCTCACAGATGTATGTTCCTTTCCTCTTCTTTATTTGGGAGTTTAAACATTCCTTTTGTCCATTCAAACATTCTCACTTCCTCCACACACACTGCTTGCTGGTGCCTGGGTGAGCCATTCTTTCTTCTCCTATGATGTTCAGACACTTTGAACCTTGATTTTTCTGCTATAGAGGAGTCCTAAACCCTGGAACAATTTACTCACATACTTAATTTTGCACACATGAGTAGTCCCACTGAGCATATACAATAACCTTTGTAGGCTCAGAAGCTTAGAGTTTACCTTTTAAAGGTGATCAAATTATTTTCAGGTATAATACCATGATATTGAGTTTATGTGGCATCTGTGGGAATCCAGCAGAGCAGCTTTATTGGCACCCTGGTGCAGGAGGTACTACTCTATAGGCAGACACTGCAGGATAAACTCTTCTTGAAATTACTTCTGGTTTCTAAACATTGCCAATATTTTTGTGAAGATATTTCTAGGGTATTAACTTCTCTTGCTCACTAAAGATGTAGCTTTCCAAACCTTCCCCAACACCTGTATAGTACAGACTGAACAATTACTCTGTTTCTTTTGAAAGCCCAACTGAGACAGGTGGCAATTTATACCATTCGAAATGTTAGCAGATTCAAATGTTTAAATTATAGCTTGATGCAAAGGGCAAATTTGATGAGAAATCAGGGCTAGGTTCAGATTTTCCACATTAGGAAAGAGGTGAGAATTCTAACATTTCCAAAAAATGATTTTTT